AAGAAATGTACCCCCCTCCAATGTATGGACAACTCGAAGCCGAGAATTAAAAAGCAGCTCACATGTTTCAAAAAGGTATACGAAATCGTTCACGAATAGCCACGACTGAAACATGCGATGCTGCGGAGGAAAGATGTTCGTCGCTGAAATAGACCTTGCATAATTCCGCTACCCATATATTCGATCATACAAAGAACCGCAAAAAACGATTGGATCAGTATATGCAGGGTCTGGTATATGGATTTAAGCGCTAACTCTCGTATCAAGGGCATGGCTGGTTTCCACTGCCTTCGACGATAAACATCAAGAAATCGGAAGAAGTAGCCGGTACAATGGGACACATGGAAACTTTATCAACGAATGCAGAATTCGGTGCGGTCGGTGAATATTATCAGCTTATTCCTCAATTAGCACCATTGCCGAGCTGGTACCGAATTTCGCGACTTCCCTTACAGATGGAAAGATCACTTAGAAAACCTCGTCAATCGTCCACCTCCAGAAACTTTGCACCAACAAGCGGCATCAGAGATAGTTCGTGAGCAATACTCTTGCATATTTGGATCTTCTTAAACTGCAATAATACAATGCGCTATCAAATCGTTGAGATGAAATAAAACCCCTGGCGATTGTGTCCCTTCAGCAAAGCTACATGAAAAAGTCGGCCAAGTTGCCGACCATTTGCCAAGATTATTTTGCATGTCTGATCTAAAGAGCGGGCGCCACAAAGTTTGACTGCTGCTCCAATTCCTCAGAAAGCATGACAGAACTCCTTTAGATCCGTTGAAACCCTCGTGCCATGTTGTTTGCAAGTTTACAAGTTAATGTTTCCCACTTGATTACCTGGTTTCTTCAACTACAGGTTTTCACACGGCACTTTATCATTTGCTGCGGAGGGTGCCCCAACAAAATGACGATCGGTTGACAGTTGTGCTTTTCTCTTAAAGCGAACAGTCATTACAGAGCGTCCTAGGTCAGGCGATTATTAAACAGATCATCGACTTCTGTACAGAAGCTTCCTTATATCTACTATACTGATACACGCTTTGATACTCAAAAAAGGCGCTCATTACAGACAGTTTCCTATTAGCACAAAAGCGCTAGAGCATCATGCCGTTATTATTGAGGTCGTTGGTAGTGTCGTTCATTCCCATCACGGCTTTCTACTTCCAGGGTCTGATCCGATATGAGCATTGAAATCCGAATGATAGATTTCATAGTTGGCACATCGTTCAGAGAACCTACCATTTCCTCAAGGAAGGAATCATATTCTCCCTTTAAATTGGGCGCAGAGACCTGTAGTAGGGGCAGCACTTTAGCTCGTTTTAGCCTGTAAATTGCCACTGTTTTGTTGACAGGTTCCCATTCAGTGATTCTGTCAGTCTAGTGGAGTTCTACAAAACTCCCATCATGGAGTAGACGCCTGAGTGAAATAACTGCGGCCATCAGAGGATTAAGATTTTAAAGAATTGGCGCATAGCAGACGAGAGTCCTATCAGATAGCTCCTGGTTTTTCCCTCTGAATGAGGAAATGCTCGAATTTCCGAATATGAGCTGCCACTGTCGGTATTGCTCCCATGGAGCTTTCCCTGGCGTGCTATAGTGGCATCGCGCTATTCTGCTTCTATGATCAGAACGGGTAGCGAATCCGTTGCTAATTGGTGTCTTCGTCTTTTGTCAATCTCGATCAGCCGTTGCCGCGCTACTACTCCCCCTAGCTGCGAGAAGGCGTGAAGTTGGTTGCAATCGACGAAATCACCGACTTCCTGTCATCTGAATCAGTTCTTCTACAGACTGCGTGGCCTTTGATTACCCGGGCGACGATTGAAACATTATAATGTTCGATAACAAGAGGATACTACGAGGAGCAGTGGCCATGTTTTACCATAGACCCCGCCACGGTCCCCAACCATCCTTCTTTCTCATCCGTGCTTGGGACCGGCATCGGTGGCGTTTGAGGTTTGGCAAGGCAAAGTTTGGTGATTCGTTTGCAAAACGTTGAGGCAGCGCTCGTAGAATTTTACAAGGAAGATTTAATGCGGCATGATATGGAATCAAGCGTGAAATTATGAAATCTCGTGTGTTTGAGCTTTGAGTCAATGCTGAGCAACAGATTATTGCTTTTCCTCGCTTTGATCGGTTTGGACTTGTGTAATTGGCGATCGATAGTGGCCAGTGTAAAATGTCGAAAGCCTTTATTGCTTTAGGAGCAGAAAACGTGCGATCATTGTCACCGATGCATAGCAACGAATGTTCAGCTAAAATCTGTGCAAATGAGTTTCAACGATTTTGCGGAGTGGCGTTCGAGGACGATGCAATGGCCGCTTATTGCCAAAGCTAGCCTTTGATCTAAGCACAGTGCTCAACCGTCTGCAAGGATGTCAGCGGTAACAGTCGACGATCGAATTATTCCAGGTCAAGAGACGGAGGAAGTAACTCCTTCGTGGCTAGAAGACACAAAAGTAACGCCTGAGACAGAAGAAGCAACGAATAATCTGCGTTCCGCGTCGAAAGGCGATCAGATAATGAAAGTAAGTGGTAAAAAATCCACTCAGGAAACAATCCTGAATTTACCGAATTCGCAAGAACAGAGAATCCATAAGAAAAAAATGCCTTTGGGCAGAAAAGTATCTTCTAAAAAGTTAGCCGAGGCCGATACTCAAGTGAGTTCAAATTTTTTGGTCCGAAACGAAATTAAATCGTTTACAGATTTTGTGCAGACTGTGAAAATCGATCAGCCACCTGCTAAAGCTTTGGATATCAAATTTTCTGATTCAAGGATGAGCCCGATCAGTGAAACCAGTACGGCTAAGGAATTTAACGCTGAAGATGGCAATTCTTCAGTTCAGCCGTTAGCTGTACATGAGAAAGAAACTAGTACCGGACTGTTGGCTGAACACGGGATCGTTGAAAATTCTGGCACTAATAAGGTATATATTGAACCAGAGAAAGCCAGTAGTTTTGACGATGTTCAAGAAAGCGGCAAGGCTGGCCAAGAATCTGAAAATGGAAAAAGCGTTGGAAATACAGTGGAAGTTCTAGAGAATATCATTGAGGTTCAAAATGCGCAAGAACGAAGAAATGGCGCCAAATCTACAACTGGCACCAGTCAAAGAAATAAAAGTGGATGTGCAGATTTTCGTCCTGAGAAGTGTTTCAAAGTGAATGGTATAAACGAGAAGACAAGGATGCACCGGAGTACAACTGAGAACAAACGGTGGAAAGAAGGAAGCAGCTTTGCATTACGAAATTCGGCTGTTCCGTTACAGATGCAACTGTTGAAAGGTCGTTCGAAGAAAACCCTATTTGTCAATCAGAATGAAAGAGATACGATTGCAAAACCCGTTTCGAATTTACTCGGTACCGTAAAATTTCAGAAAGCGCATATTCGAGCTGTTGCTGACAGCACATTAGCAATTGACAAATTTGACGTCAGTCCTTTACACAACCAAGTAAATCTGTGTGAGGATCATGATTCGCCAAAATTGACATTAACTGAATCAGAAACTGCTGAAGTCACTGATGATTCTGCTCAAGGAAAAAAATGCGAGGAGAATAATTGCGTTCTTGAAGATATGAGTCAAAACACGGATAAGCAACAGAGTTTTGAAGCTGCAAATACGGAACGACATCATAGCCTTCCATTAGAAGTCACTGAAAGATTTCTTTTTGAAAATAGAGAAAAAGAATATCACGAAGGCATTTCAAGTATTATGGAATGCAGCCAACCCGATAGCGAAGAGATACCAAACGAAGTATGCACCACAGAAAAAAATCCTAAAAAAGCTGAGCAGCTGCATAATCCTGAAGAAACCGTTAACCACGGGTCTCTATCAATTCCAGTTTCTGATTCAGCAAAATTCAATTTTCAGCAGAGAATAAAGTATTTTATGGATGAAGGACAATGGTCTGTGGTAGAAAACATGCTGCGTTACGTGAATAAGAAGGCTCTGAATCCAGATGAGATAATTGATCAAGTATCAAGCCCTATGTGGTCTTAAATATTTTTTCCTTGTTGTATTTAAGGATGGTTTTCCGCTAATTCTTGCTGCAATTAAGAACAGTCAGATAAACACAGTCGAGCAGCTACTGAATTTGCATGCCAATTTGAATATTAGTTCAAAGGTATGAACCCTTTTCTGCATAATACTTTATAAGTGTCGCTGTGAAGGACGGATATAATGCTGGACATGTGGCAGCAAAATGGGCGAACAGTGAAACTGTTCGTTTTTTACTGGATAAAGGCATTTCCGTTGATACAGCAACGCAGGTACTCAGGATAGCGAAAAAGCACAATAACGAATTTGTCTTCTTTAGTCACTAAAACAGTTGCCACTGCACCTAGCCGCGTCACGCAGAACAACGCCAGAATTCAATTCCAGTACAATTGTTCACCTTCTAATAAGAGAAATGAAAGTTGAAGAAGGAATGGATAGTCGTCTGATTGAAGATGCGGTAAAATAAAAATTATATCGATTATTACCTAGCGCTTGCAATAATTTTCTCATACAACTCTGGTTATTTTAGTTATTATGTTCTCTAATTTGTTAATAAGTAATTTTCCAACATGATTGATCGTGAGTGTTAATTTATAATATTTTACTCAGTTCGTTAACTTCAGTGTATCATCACAAACGAATCGTTATACAAATATTCGTCAGATTTATGTACGCAAAAACAGTTCGAGAGATGCTAGACCTACTGAAAAACAGTATAATCCATGGTTTATGCACGTTATGCGCATTTATAGAACGCAAAAATATCGATCGGTAATATTATCTTTGCATTTAGCTGTAAACTTCACTCTGGAGGTTTTAGTCTCGACAGTGCTAGTTGATTGATAACTTCGTTCCAGTGATAACCCAGTTTCACACCGATGCTTTATTCATGTTTGATTGTATTATCAGTACTTCTTTAACCTTCCTGTTTAGAACGTTTAGCTCTCGATGCATTCCCTTCATATAGCCTTGCAGTATGCGGTGTTGTTCTTGCACTGCAGGTTGCACAGCCGCCGAGTTCTTTTCGCATTCCTGCC